GAAGAATAAAAAAAAAATTTTTAGTTTTATTTTTGTTTTAGGTACCCCTAGAAGACCTAACGGTTTTGTCAAAGAGCACCGCAGAAGAGTATTTAACTAGTAAGTTAACGCCTCCTTCCTTAGCGATAGCGCGAAATATGCCATAAGCTCGCTTCGAACCCTGGATCTCTAGCGTTTAAAGCTGATGCCATAACTACTGCGCCACGGCCACTTGCTTAGTAATTCAAATCGTTTTTTCATAAAGTCTGAATTCTACCAACATATTTTAGTTCAATTTAAGAATATGCAGAAACTTTTTAATATATATTTTTGCTCTTAATGAGATCTATAAATTAAAATCAGAAGTTAATTACTTTTGTTACCAAATTTTAATTAATAAAACTTTTCTTAAAAAAAAAAAAAAACTTAAAACATTCCATTTACTTGAAAGTTACCTTAAACGTCAATTAAAAAAGTTTTTATCACTTGAATGTATTGTAAAAAATAATTATAAACTAAAATAATAGAAGGCAGAATGAAATAAAGGATATAATAAAACAGTTATGATTATGATTGTGCCTTTTTCTCTTGAGGTATATAAAATACCAAACTAAACACCAACTAAAACACTAAACAAGAAAATTTTGTTTTTAAATTTATGTAATTTAAAATGTTATCCTCTTTCATTTGTTGTATGTAGGAAGCAGAAATTAGTTTTGTTAATGTTATAAAAATCTACCCCGCAAACATTCTATAGCGGACTTTAAGTGGACATAAATATCCACAGTAGTTTTGCACATCGATTACTTAGTGGACCATTGGCCACTATGTAACCGATGTGTTAACCAATGACTTACCACTATTAACATGTCGGAAAGTTATTGTAGAAATGCCTAATGTCATCAGAATAATTTATATCATTTGCAAGCAAAATCTTTCAGCTTTGGTTAAGTTTTTGCTTGCGCGTGAATAGTTACTGAATTTCCAAATATAAATTTATTTCCACTAATCATGAATAAAATCACAAAATTATATAAAATCATAAAAATATTATTCTGTGCAAAATTATTCCATTTCACAGTGATTTCGTCTAAGAAAAAAATTTAAAAATGGTCTTTTAAAGACGTTTAAAAAGGTAAAAGAAATCATTATAAAATTTCTAAAATTCTGTTTTCTATCCTTAAAACGATAAAAAATGTCGTTGCTTTAGTACCCGGCTATTTTCCAAATATTGGAGAGGACATAAATCATAGGTTTTGCATGGTTTTTCTTTAACAAATCACTACTTGGATATTGACAACCTCAATGGTTTATGAAATGGTTTTTACAGCAAACCTAAGAAACTTCACAACTTGGACATATTTTCGCAAATTACACAAATTTTTCCGTTGATTAAAATATATTGTGAAGCACTCTTTGTAAAAAAACTTCAATTCTTTCAAATGTTTCTTCATGAAGTAATATTTTATGAAGAGAGTCTAAAAACTTTGGTGAAGATGAGCCTTGTAAACATGATAAAACCCTTATATAAGATGAGCTTCTTCGTAATTAAATTTGTTTTAAGAGGAAGTTATTATTATTATTAAATATTATTATATTTATAACGTTAAAAATATCATTTGTGACTCTATAAAAATGATGACAAGTGTCTAGAAAGTACGTATATAAATAATAAATCATTAAAAATATATGTAATATATAACTGAAGTACTTGAAATATTCAAACAAATAAGTGTTATATTTTTTAACGCAAAAAAAAACAAAAATGTGAAGAAAAAAATTCAAAAGTCCAATCATGTCTTTTTTGCTCCTACTAGCAGACATCAGCTCTTTGCTAGTTCATTAAGCTTTGCTAATTAATAAATGCTTTTTTCTACAGCGTAAACATGTCCTGCAGCTTCTTGATCCTTTTCTACACACCTCTCAACTGATTGGCTATAAGAACTTCATTGCGGAACAACCATGGGGGTATTTATAAAACCTTTTGTAGCAGAAGTTTTAGTCAGAGTGTTCAAGCTTTATAACATTTGTGCCTCAATCTATTAAGCTGAAATGATTTTTAGCACAAATATTAAGATCAGATGATCTTCTATATTTATGATTATAATCATCAAGATAAGGCTGCAATTTACGTAAATTTACAGAAATTGGTTAGGTGTCACTTATATAGATACAAACTAGTCAATGGAGTGACACATAAAAAATATAAAGTTCTCAACAACAAAAAAGGAAGAAAAGCAAATGAAATATAAATGAGGAGAATAAAAAAAGAAAAAAAAAGTAAACAAAAACTAGATTAATTAAAAGAAAAAGAAAAACAATGATAATAATTATCCTTGCTCTTTTATTAACATTATGAGTACTTCTAAATTGAATTTATATATTAAACATGTAAACCTATATTCTGGTTTCTTCTCATAATATTTTGAAGACTTTTAAATTTTATTTAAAATAAATTAAAAGTTGAAGCTTTGATTACTTTGAGCTCTTATATTTATCATCAAAATTTATTTAAATTAAATAAAAAATTTAAATCAAATAAATATTTGCCTGCTTAGTTCCTGTTTATTTATATATATAAAGTAAATAATAATATAAGTATAAATAAAAAATTTATAAAGTATTCTATTTATTATTTTATTTCAAGCTCACTCTACAGAGTTGTTAGATTACAATGGAAGCTTTTATCACAGATAGTTAATATTAGATTTCAGATGCTGATGCAGATTTATCCATTACAGAGACAGAAGAAGAATGAATGCTAAGATTTCAGAGTGTAAAAGATTAAAAGAAGCTAAAGAAAATTAGTAGTAAGTACGTGTAAAGTTAAAAATAATCAAAAAAAAAAAACTTAAAAGTGTGTAAAAAAGAAGTTAGAGAGAAATCTATCATTTGTACTTTTTTTTAGCAGCAGGTTCACAACAGTTGTAGTGGAATACAAAATGGTCTTAACTTGGGTTTTTTTTAGGTTAGAAATTGTTCGTTTAATGAATACAGAGAAGTAAAAAAAAAGATATTGAAATAAATAGCAATAAAAAGATAAAGTGTGTTTGTAAGATTTTTTATGTTATAGATACAACTAGATCAGCTAAGAGTGTTTATTTAGAGAAAGAGTGTTCAAGTGTAAAAGATAAATTTACTTGAGTAATATTCAGAGATTTTTATCCACTCTTAACAAAAGGTGCATTAAAAATAAAAATAAAATATACAGCACACGAAAAGATGCGTAACAGTAATTTATGGGGAATAAAACTTGAGGATGTTCAGCTAGCACACGATAATTAGATAGAGCAAACAAGATGATTAAATAGAGGATTAAAAATTAGATGATTAGATTGAGGATTAAAGAGAAACAATGTTTACATAGAAGAACAGTATGTCTATAAAAGATCAAAAAAATAGCAATAACCTTAGAAGAATATTGGGAATAGTTGGAAATATATGTGAGTTACTGATATTGTGCACTATATAACATTAATATGGTTTGCACACAGAAAAAGTAGAACTAGAAGTAGGAAAATTTGGGGAGAATGTTTCAAAAAAACTTAAGTTTTAAAAAAAAGCACTAGGTGTGGTGAAATATCAGAAACGACATAATGAGAAACTTTCAAACAGGGACACTGAGAGCTTTTGCCCTACCTGGGACAGCAACCCTGAGTGGCGTCCTCATTTTTATACGATTTTTCTATATTATTAGTCAAGGACCTTAGTTTTGGTACCTTTTTTGTTTTACACCCCTGCTGATTTGAATGCTGATTAAATTTTAAGCATATATAGAGCAGAAGCTTCGGCTTCGGCAAAGTGGCTTCGGCAAAATTTTAGCTTCGGTACATCCCTATAAATTACATAAATCTTTCTAAAAAGTGTAAAAATATTTGCAATAACAGATGGCTCGCCCCAACATATGGCTTGCCACAGCAGAAGCTTTCATTTTTTTCTAAATGAGTGAGCACACGTTTACTGGTGATTTTTTTTTTGTTATCGTTAAATAGTAGCACAAGTATAAATTTATATGCAATGTAAAATAAAAAAGTGAAGCACAGTATTGTGAATGAACATGTCACAAAGTAACAATGTTGTGATTACGACACCATACATTTAAATGAATCTTACAGCTGTGTCATTTACAGCTGTGTCTCCTACAGCTGTGTCTCTTACAGCTGTGTCTCTTACAGTTGTGTCTCTTACAGCTGTGTCTATTACAGCTGTGTCTCTAACAGCTGTGTCTCTTACAGCTGTGTCTCTTACAGCTGTGTCTCTTACAGCTGTGAATCTTCTTTTTTTCAGCATTTCAGCAGTCACAAATTGAAAGAAGAATAGAATAAAAACTGATTGAACAAATTGAAAAAAGAGTTGAATAGGAGTTGTATAGAAGAAAAGTACGGAAGTTATTGCTTTGTAAAGGTATACTTTCTTATTTTTTGGCGACTTGACCAACATTACTTTGACTTGACACGTCAAAAAAAAAAGATAGACACATCATATATTGTTGTTTCAACCACATTTTAACATAATTATTTACTTAATCAAAGAAATTGATAAAGTTAAATTTAATTTTATCTTCTAAGTTTTATTTTATCAAACTCGCTAAGTGATTAGTTTTTACTCAAAAAGTTAGTTACTTAAAATGTTATACTCAAAGGTTACTATTAATGCATATCCACATTTTTGTTCGTATTTTTGCGTGATTTAATTTTTTTTTGTTTATTTACATTTGTATTGACTGTTTGATGCTTGCGATAATCATTAAATACTTTATAATGGGTTTCAGTAAAGACTAATAGTCGTTCGGCATTTTTGAAGAAGCATCATTTTTGTTATTATTATTTTTTGTTTTGCGTTTACAATATTAATATAGAGGTCGTCTATAAATTACGTCATGCTTAAGGGTGTGTGTGTGTTGGGGGAAAATACGTATGGACGACCCCATAATTAGAAATATTTTAAATCTGTTTTCAAAAAAAAGTTTTAAATATAATATATTTTTTATTTAAGAATTATTAACTAATATCAATAGTTACCATCATTAGAATCTTCAATTGCAAATATCCGTGATAAATCTCTTTTTTTCATTGATCTGTGTATATTTTGAAGCTAAAGATAATGTTCATGTTAATAAGTTATCAGTTAAACTATTAAAATTACAACATCATTTTCTTTTTTTTTCTCCAAGTTATAATATTTATAGGGGAAAGCGGGGCAACATGGCGAACGTTTTTAAAGCCCTGAGTTATTGCAAAACTATCAGTCGTGAAGTATTAATACTTTCTCAGTATGTTTATGTTATTAAAATGACTCATTTCCTGCATGAATTTTCAGTTTGCAAATACAACAATTTGAAATAAATAATAAAATAAAAAGTTGTCATTTGGTCAAGTGACCGGGGCAAGATGATTTATTATGCAATTTCAAAAACTACAAATAACTCTAACTAAAGTACCACAAAATAAACACAAGTCGCAAAAAACTACTTCTAAAGAAATTAAACTTGAAGGACACCATCCGTTATGAGAAACCGAAACTGAGGAACTTTTTTTTAAGCGCAAAAAGTGAACTTATGCGTATAAAATTTAAAAAAACCAATTGGTGTTTTAAAATACAAGATGCAAATACAGTTTTGTTTTCACCCAATTTTAAGATTTTTTTTTTGGATTGTTATATAAAAATCTATCTTACCCGCTTACCCCAAATGTAATGGCAGCAAGTTATTGAAATAAATTATTTTATCATGTCACACTAAATTTAAATTCATCAAGAGATTTTAAACTTTATCTAATAACCTTTTAGATTCCAAAAATTATAATCATACAAAGTTTCCACCCTCCCCATAAGGGAGAGGATTGTAAATTTAAAATGATCTTACCTTTTAAAAGTGGTAAGGGAAATATTTATCTAAATACGTATATAGTTTTGTAAAATCAGATTTATAATTGACCTTTACAAACGAGATAGCAAGTGAGTTCAGAAAATTTTTCATTTGGTGTTAGTTGAAGTATTAAATTATGCTTTTAAGTTAAGTTCATCCCACCTTGGTACTACAAACACTAAAGTACGAAAAATTTTTTTACATTTTGACATCATGGATGAACTTAACTTAAAATTTTTACATAAAAAACCATAGAAATTGTCTTAAAAATGTAAAAAAAAAAACAATAAAAATGAAAAACTTTTGTTTTTTAAAATAGTTATAAAACTATAGATAAATTTAAAATAGTATTTTAAAATTCAACAAAGATAAACTATTTCTAAATGTCGCAGCTGCATCACCAATATTTCCAGATATTTCACATTTTCCACAAATAATTTAATAACTTTTGACTTTGAAGCAGTCAAAGATAATAAAAAATTTATTTATTGCATTACAAAATAAAGACACATTTGTATTTTATGTTAACCAAATAACTGAAAAGCCAATTTACGTCCTTTGATTATGACCTTATTGCTAAACTCTGGTCCACTGTGTATTAATGAGTTATTTTAATTAATAAGTTCTTCATTTTTTTAAAACTTTTAGCTTATAATAACTAAATATATGTTATGACTAAATATATGTAACAACTGAATATTTACAATGATACTCACAGATTGAGGAGCTTGGTAAATTTTAAACTATAAAATTTAAACAAAATCTTCTCCCACAAGTTCAAAAAATTTATGAAATAATGTAAAAAATTAAAGATGCAACTGAAAATAGCAATAAAAGCTAGTAAAATAGCAAAAATCTTTAATATCTCTTCGTTCGCACCATAGCAACAACTATTCAATTTCTGCAAATGTTCTTTTTACAGAATTAATAATCTAGATCAATATAAGAAGTCAAAAATTAGCAAAAATAACTAGAAACCAGTCATGCTAAAGTATTTTGTCTACGACTGAATATCGTATAATTATACGATATTCAGCCGTGGACAAAATACTTTGGCATGACTGGTTTCTAGCCATTTTTGTAATTTTTTAACTTCTTATATTGATCTAGGTAATTTATTCTGTGTAACATACAATTAGTTTTTACAGTATAATTTTCTAAAACCACCAGTTAAGACGTCATTCTAATTGAAAGTAAAAAAAAACACTAAAAAAATCTAAAGAAGGAAAAGAGGGATCAAGACCCATATTTTTCCGTTATCTATTTTTAATAATATTACTTTAATTTAGAGCAAACATTAGGCTTTGGGCTGTTTCAAACTCCATTGGTGTTTAGCCAATCGATTACGCAGTAAATTGGATATATAAAACTAATTCATTTTTTTTAACCAAAGTTTTAAAAAATAAATTGAAAAGATTAAATTAAAAATGAATAATGTTAATTATCAACATAATAATTGTTAACAAAAATATCTAATAATTAAATTTTTTTTTTTACTCTATTGATATGTAAGGTAAATGTTTTTGTTCTCTTAATATCTCAGGCAATTGCTACTCTTAGATGCATCTTGCAGCTGCTACTATTGGATGCATTTGCATTTTTTTTTATTTAGATACCTTTTTTTTTTTAATTCGTTGATTTCCATCTGCTACTTTCGCATTTCTACCTAAAAGTGTCATGTTGCTTCCCTTTTGATATTATTTTGTTTAATGACAATTTTAATTCTGAGCCATGAATACAACTTTTACAGTTCTCAATTAATATTTACGAAGCTGTCGCTGATAGAATCAGAAGAATGAGACAAATTTGTGTCAAGTGCAAAAGTTAACATATCTTTGTATTTTATTTGTTTGGAACTAGTATTGTGATTATGACACATTATTTTTGACATTTTTTTTTTCATTTAGCAATTATCTCAGCGTCAGTTGCTCACGTTGCATCTTCGAGTATTTCGTTTCTTAAAAACGGATCTTTTTTGCCCTACTTAAACAGCCATTCGCATTCTCGCTTAAGACAAAAAAGTTAGGTTGATGCGTTCTACAGAGGTATTTCATTTTTTAACAGTTCCAAACTTTTATACAAATTATTTTAGTTATATCAAAAGGTGCACACAAAAAAGTGATAAAATCCTATACCTAGGTTTAACTAGTTATAATAAATAACAGCAATGCAAACAAAACAGTTATTTAATATATAATTATTTTAATTAGGAACTAAATAAAAATTATACCTTTGGATTTTCATATTTATATGGTTGATCAATTGCGTATAAATGTTTGAAGCATTCAAGTAAAATTATTAAAAAACCACAAAAGCACTTTTTTGACAACAATGACTTCATTTTCACTAAAAACAAATCGAATCATATTATCATTAAGATTTTTATCACAAGAGTGTTTTTTTTTGTTATATTTAGTTAAAGTTTTTTATTATTTGAGGGAAATTTATTTTTTATAACATTAATTCTAAATAAGTTTATATTTTAAATCGAGTTTAGCTGAGCAAAAAGTTAAACTTAGTTCAACATAAAGAACAAATATTTAACAAACCAAGTTGAATTTGTTAAACAAAACGCTTACCCATTTACCGTGCAAACGTACCTTTTGTAAACGTTTTTAAAATTTCGAAAGTATCATTCTTCAAAGCTTTTATTTCCGAATAAGGATATTTTTAATTAATACGCTAAAAATGAGATAAAATGAATAACTTAACATTAAATTTTATAGAACTTATTATACTTAAGATAAAACATTATCACGATAATTGCTATGCATGGTTGCACTGATATGAAAGAGTTACATTTAATGTGCACTGAATCCATTACTTGAAACAAACATTGCAAAAAACGGTAAATAAAACGTTAACAGGAACGACCATCTAAAACACTCGAACGTTAAAAAATAGTTTCGAGGAAAAAACCCTTTGTATACTTCCTTTTATTATTTAATTTCATTTTTTTATCATTCGAATTTTCTTCATGCAATTTTTTATTTTCTACATGATCAGCCATGCGTGTTAAACAACTGTGTTTGCTAAGTTAGATCTAAATGTAATATCTGTTACCTAGAAGGGAGCTGCAAAGATAAAAAAAAATCAATCAATGCGCTATAAAACTGGATGAACTAAATGATTAGAGACCAGTACTTTTTTTTAATTTTTTGGAGTTTATTTTATTTAATTATAAACAAGCAAGATAAACAAGTAAGATTTAGTTCTATTCAAGAGAAATTAACAGTATATTTGGCAGTAAACTCCTCAAATAATATTTCTAAAACACCATTACCTACACCTAAACTAACACCTGTCCAAATAATAACACCAAAACCGCCAACACTGTTGACAACATCTAAACTAACTCCAATAACTAAATTAACCACACCACCTGCACTTAAAGAGACAGTTAAAGAGGATGATCAAGGCATTACGTTTCAAATTGCTTTTAACAAGTTTATCGAATTTCTTAAAGTCACAAAAAAGAATTTTGATGCTTGGTTAGAGTCAAATACATTAGAACCTCAAACAACACTGAATATAATATGGCTGTGTCTTTTTATATTATTCATTACATTTTGTTGCTTGTGTTGTAGATATTGTTGCGCTAAAAAAGAAGAAAAAAAGGAGCTTAAAGATAAATTAGATCTAAAACGAGATCATTTGTTTGGACCAAATTACGCGGAACGCATACAACCTAAAGTCGAAGAAATCGATTATAATATTGAAAGTACTATGTTTGATGCTCTTGCAGAAATTAAATTAGGTCAAATAAGGTTTTCTCTTGATTTCAATACTGAAGAAAATATTGTAGAGATAACAGTTCATGAAGGTAAAGATATACCAGCAGCTGACATATCTGGCTTTTCCGATCCATACGTTAAGGTTTTATTAAAACCGGCAGGCAAAAAAGAATACAAAACTAAAACAAAAAAATCTACACTTTCACCTTCTTACGAAGAAACATTTTTTATGAAAAATGTGACATATGCAAATTTTACAACCAGTACCTTAACGCTAAAAGTGTACGATCACAATCGATTTGGTCCTCATGAATTATTAGGTGAGGCAAATATACCTATTAACGATATTGACTTGAGTAAAGGTAAAATTACTGAATGGCGAATTATAATGCCTGAATTTAAATCTGAAGTTGGTAAATTTGGAAAGGATTTTAAACTTGGTCATATTTGTATTGGCTTAGGTTATGCTCCAAATACAAGTGTACTTGCAATATTTGTATTAAGTTGCTACAAAATAAAGGCGGTTGATGAAAGCGGATCTTCGGACCCTTACGTAACGTTTTTTTTAATACAAGATGGAAGAAAAGTGAAAAAAAGAAAGACAACAGTTAAACTGAGAACTTTAAATCCTTCATTTAATGAATCTTTTGCTTTTGAAGTCAACTTTGAGAAAATTGAAGAAACTTCTTTAATGTTTGTTCTTGCAGATTATGATAAAGGGCAACCAGGAGAACCTATTGGTCAAACAATAATTGGACCTCTTGGCCAGGGATTAGGAATAAAACACTGGGAGCAAGTGCGGAGATCTCCTGGAAAGCCAATTTGTTATTGGCATATGTTAAAACCAGTACCAGTAGCAGAATAGTTTATATATGTTGTACTATAAAGTTGTATTTTCAGACAGAAAATATTTGTGCTTTTAGTTAGGTATTAAATATTTTTTTTTTTTATATTTGTTGTTAGAAAATAATGTTTTACGTTGAAAAATAATACCATTTTTATTTTATAAGTTATTACTATTTAAAAAAAAAGTTTAATTATGCCATCATACGCAACCAACAGCTCCTATGATGGCGTCCTTTAAATAAACTTCACAAACAATATTTATCAACAACAACACAGTGGACAGAGTCGTCCACAAGAAGTCTGTACAACGTCTTTTAGACGTCACATGTTGGTAGGACTTTTTTAAACGTCCAGCAGACGTTCTGTACCCACTGGAAATACTTTTTTTAATAATAACACACTTATCATTAAAAAATCTGCAAATATTATTTATTTATTTTTCCTATCTAATGTTTTTTAGAGAAAATTATGAATAAAGTTCTTCACTAAGCAAGCATGCTGAATCAGATACAAAATCAATTTCATTTTTACTTGTATTATTTTCTTTAGAGCAGTACTTTTTATTAATTAGCATTTTTCTTTCAGCTTTTTTCTTTTTCATTATTATTGTTTTCTGTTGCTTTATCTTTTAATTCTACGATATTCGGAATAGTATTCAGTTGCCCAGTTTTCTATGGTTTTCTTGTTCTTTTAATTTTAGTTTTAGAAGTTGCTAAAGGGAGATACTAAGGGAGATACTAAGGGAGATACTAAACTAACTTTTAGATACTAAATTTTTTCCCTTGCGTTGACACAGAAGTTCCAATGCAGTAGGACACATCTAATATTGGAGAGCGTTTTCTAAATGCCTTGATAATTACCTTCTTGTGTTTTATTTGACGTGTGAGAGCTTTTTTCAAAATGTGTTGATTTCTCAGGTTTTTATTTTTTTAAGCTTTTTTTCAACTCTTTCTGCTGGTAATAAAGGTGCAAACATCCAGTTTTCAAAAATGTTTGAATTAAGGTATACATTCGGTTTTGGCAAAAGCATGCACAGAATTAGCTTAAGTGGCACCTTTTAAACATAACAAGTGGTTACTAAAATTCCGGACTAACTTTATCTGACTTTTAAATGCGAAAAGCTAACCTTTTTTTTTTTAATGTTTATATCCATTATAAAGCTTATTCATTCTCTATGATTTAATTCACTTGTTTTTAGATAATTAAGAAAAAATTAAGACAAAAATGATGTCCAAGCAAAAAGAGATAAGAAAATGGGTTTACGAGTTCTATTTGAATAACTGCAAGGTAAAAGTTTACAGTAGATCACTTCGATGCTGAATTAAATCCCAAAAAGTACTATCTACGGTATAATTAAACAAGCTGAAAATGGTTCTGGACACAAAAGAGCAAAAGGAAGTGATCATCAAAATTATGACCCCCAAAGTGATCAAGCGTCTGAAAACTATTTTTGCCCACAGTGACCGGCAAGCCGGTCAAAAATTTGGATGCAGCCATTATGCATATATCATTAAAACTCTTGCCAAGAACACTGACATTAAAATTTATACAAAATAGGGTATACCTGATTGACAAAAGAGAGAGAAAGAGCAAATCAAGACCGGCATTTATAGTTTTTATCGCAATTTTTAAGAAAAATTGGTTATTCTTGGCAACGATTCTTACTTGACGCTGTTGCACTCAACGATTAACGGAAACTACACCTACTATTCTAGAGACAAGACTCCACCGAGCGTTAAATATCGCAAAAAGCACAAGTTCAAACCCAAGCTGCTCGCCTGGATGGCCGCTTCTGACAAAGGTATCTCCAAGCCATTTTTTGTCCCCAGCGGCCTTGCAGCCAACAAAGCCATCTACGAAATATTTTGTATTATTAAAAGATTAGTGCCGTTTATCAAAGCTCATCATACCGATGATAATTATGCATTTTTGCTGGACTTGGCCTCATTGCATTACACCAAAACCGTGACCAGCTGCTACGAAGCTCATTGCATCAATTTTTTCAAAAAAGTTGTCAATCCCTCAGCCGTATTGGAGTGTTGTCCAATTGAAGACTTTACGGCTACTTTGAAAGGTAAAGTGTACGAGGGTAACTGGCAAGCAAAAGACGTGAAGCAACTATAAACCAGAATAAAGCTTTGTCCAAAAAAAATTGACCTTAACCTTGTATTTTGACTTTTTGGGTCAACTTGTCTTAGAGTTGTCCAAAATCCGAAGGAATAGACTGGTTGAAGACAAACTTATTTAAAATAAATAACTATAAACTCTATTTAATGATACTTTTTTTTATTCTCTGCCATAAAAACTATGGAAGTAATTTCCCTTAAAAGTAAGTCCAAATCTAAAGTATCTATCTGTTACAATGTTTAAAAGGTCAGTAATCTTGAAATATATCAAAATTCTACCTGTGTATTATTTAGTCTAAATGTCTAAATTTCTTGATCATAATATACCTGTAATGAACCGAAAAATCCAACATTAAGTAGTTGGACAGTGCGTATATTGTGCAAGAAAACAAAATATTACAATGCCATTTTCATTTGCATATTACAAAACTGCCAAATTTTTATGAGTAATATTGTAATCAAGGAGAAGAAGCTTTTGTTTCATTTTTGAAGCACTATAGTGGTGCACAAAGTGTTTAAGCCAATTTTATAGTCATCCACCCTTTTCAAAATGTTTTATTGATTATTAGAGAGGTATCATCCGATTTGTTTTTAATTTTTTTCTAGAAAATATAAAGATTGGTGGCACAAATGTTCCTATTTTATTCATACAGTCGATCACGCTCAGCACTACTGAGTGCTCTTTCGCAGCTAATATTTTTTGAGTTTTTTTTTTTTTACAGTACTTTACCCTGATTCGTCAACGTTAAATATGTTTTCAGTAAAAAATTTATAGAGTTTCATTATTGTTGATAGTGCAGTGAAACTACAGTTATGTTTTTTTTATTAAAAGCCTGTGCTTGACAAAATGACGTACTTTCTGGTGTTCTAAGTATAATTCTTGGATAACGTTTTAAATATTCATCATTTTTTATAGACCATTCTAAAATATTGATTAAATTATGATAGATCTTATTTTTTTAGCTACCTTGAACACCATTCACTTTATATCTTTTCTTGTTGGCCTAAAAACCTAGTTTCCATATCAAACATATGCTTATTTAATTCTTCTTTGACAAAATGTTTTAATATTGTTCTATAGACTTCAAAGCCTTACTTTTTAGCACCTTGTTTAAATCTTTGTTAAAAATTTGCAAATGGGGCAGAAGTTTTGGCAGCTAATAACCATTCAATATTTTTTCCCAAATACTTCTTTAAGAATTCGACATTACTATTTCTTTCAATTGGTGTCTCTTTATTTTATTAACAGCCATTATACTTTAATAAACTGAAATCTTAACTAAAAACTGTACGCATTTAGTTACAAAATAAATCTAAGTTCCTAAAATTAAACAGTTTTTTTAAAATTGAATAAGCTATTGCATTGTTTTACATTATTAAAATGTATGCATTAAAAATGGATGACCCGTATAATTTTATACAGCTATTCACGAAAGTTTAAACGAGGATGTAATTTTAAGAACAAATCTTTGGTTTTTCTTTAATAAAAATGTAACGGAAATAGATATCAAAATAATTTTTCCCCATTCGGTAACTAGGTTTTCTCATCAAAAATAAATATAAAAAGTAGGTTTCGACTTATAAGTGATCTCTTGGGAATTTGATTAATAGATAGATGTGAGAAATTAATTGGTGTCATATAAGTTTAAAAAAGTTTATTAAAATTCAATTATTTGTTAAGTAATTAATTAATCCGTTGCGAAAATTGTTTTAACACATAAGCATAAGTAGACTGAGTGGTTTTCATTCAATAAAAATTGTCACAACATTATTCAACAGTTTCATATTCAACGAAAATCAACTGAAATCATTGCAAACTTCAAACAATTTCAAACTGCGTGCAAATGGGGCGAAAACCAGTTTTAAGTGAGATCAAATGGCAAATTATTGGTATGTCTAAGTCAAAAATTCACAGTAACGTTCAAATAGGCAAAAAACTAGGGGTTTCTGAATCTTGCGTACAAAAAACAGTCAAAACCTGGAAGCTTACCAAGGACGTCGTTGACATGCCGCGTTCCGGGAGACCATCGAAGCTTAGTGACCGTGAAAAAAGTAGCATATTCAGAAGCTGCAGAGAGAATCCTAGGCACAGCTACAAAAAGCTAGCACAAATCTTCAACGAGTCGAAAAATAAACATAATGTAAGCAGAGAGCTCGTTAGGCGAACATTGCTGCAAAAAGGTATTGGAACGTACATTGCAGCAAGAAAACCTATTTTATCAACCAAGGACTGACGTAAACGGCGAATATGGTCAAAAGAAAGATTAATATGGACTGTTGAAGACTGGTTAAAAGTTATTTGGAGTGATGAAGCTAGTTTTCAAGTTGTAAACCGCAAGGGAAGACTATATGTCAAAAGATTTGCAACGGAGAAATATTCAGAACTGTTTTTGCAATCACGTCGACAAGGCGGTATTTGGGGATGTTTTTCTCACAAACATCATTTGTATTTCCATTGGTATTTGGGGATGTTTTTCTCACAAAGGTATTGGTATGTGTGAGCTGTACAAAGACCGAATAAATCAGTACAGCTACAAAAATACATTGGAAACGTGTTTAATTCCATCAATCAGACAGTTGTATGGTAGAAGCAAGCAATTTATCTTTCTACAAGACGGGGCTCCAGCTCATACAGCTAAATCAATCAAAGAATATTTTTTGCAGAAAAAGATAAATGGGATCCCTTGGTGCCCAAGATCACCAGATCTCAACCCAATTGAAAATATTTGGTCTTGAATTGACAATCAACTTACTTATTACCAAATACAATTAACTGAGCACTTAAAGCAACTTTTGAATGAGTACTGGTTGAAGTTACCTCGAGAAATGTGCATGAAATTAGTTGAATCGATGCAGAAACGAGTCTACCTTTGCTATAAAAACAAAGGCGGACATTTTAAATATTAACTTGGCATTTTATTTCCATTTTTTATTTGTTTGTAAAATTTCGTTTAAATTTTTGT